TCCTCCAAGTAACGAGGGCCCCTCCCCACACTCTGCACACATTTAATTGTTGAGTTATGCTTCCTGTTCCTTCTCAGTGCTAATGCTTTCTCTGAAATTCTCTCCTAGTGTTTCCAGAAGAACTTTTGACCCCAAGACTGTTTTTAAACTTATGGCATTGTTATCCTTGTCTTTATTATGCTTGCATGGCTACAGGTAATTATGTATGGATTCCCTGGTAAGGCTCACAGCAGAAAATAGTCAGTTCTACAGCTCAGAAAAAAAAACTATAAATGGAGAGGGAGGGGACTTAACAAATGCATTTCTTCCTATTAAACAAACAGGTTTATTTATATGCTTTCAGCTACATGTCTAGTAAAAAAACAAAACAAAAAAAAAACACAAAAAAAAGGCAGGTTTTGGCAGGGATCAGGTAACCCAGATCATACTAGAAACCTCAACAGGAGACATCTTCTTTCTGTTACTGGTAGGAGGATGACAACCTTGCTGTGTCACGGCCATCTCCGCATGCAACGTGCTCACAGCTGATGTGAAGGGAACACATCACACACTTCAGGTTAACTCAAAATGATTAAACATCAGTAAAAGGCCTGACACACCACAGCAGAGGATCACGCAGCTGGGGATGCTGCCAGAGGCTGTGTCCCCAGGGCTGCTCCCCAGCATGGGCATGGGGAAGCAAACTGTGTCCCTTACCAGCTCCTCCTCAACAGGTAGGGATAATAATGACCTCTTTTCCCAAAGAGGAAATTTCTCTTTTGTACAATTCTATTCTGCATGGAATAGACTCTCTCCAGGGGAGAGCACATGATTTCAGTACAGATGAACAGTCCCCAGCCTTCCATCCCTGCCTCCAGCAAACACGGATCCAAACCTCCCAAGGCAGACGCCCTCTTCTCATATTTCAGCTTATATCCTCAGCTTTTAGGGATTTCAAGCCATTAATGTGAAGCTGGTCACTGAAGCTGGACATTCAAAAAATACTCAGACCATCATATATTGAACTACACAGCACTGCCAGAGAGACAAATAACTTTTGGAGCAACTAAGAACAACACATGCTTCCGTTCGGGGACCAAAAATGCTCCAAATTCACCAGACACTTTGCAAATTCTTAGCAGATGAGCTTTCTCTTTAGAGTTCATTTCCCAGGTTGCTCCATCAGCCAGCAATAAAGTGACAGATTCAATTTCAAGAACAGAAATACTAGTAAAAGTGAATTAGAATTAAAAATAAATCATCCAAGGCAAATACTATCATATTATCCTATTTCACTTGGACATACACAATGATATTTTAAAACAGCAATGTCAACTGCACACAGCAAAATGTGAACTGGGGTGGAGGAGTTTAAAATCCCCCAAGTGCCTCAGGACCATTTAGGACAATGTGATTCTCTGGCCCAGTATTTTGTGTCTGAAGTTAAGGAATATTTTGGCCAAACTAGCTCTGAAAGAAATGCACTTAAAGGATATTAATGTAATCCTTTTTCTACCTGGCAGCACAAGTTTTATTAAAGTTAGAACTTTAAGGGTCATTTCATGTTAAACAGGGCTTTCCATAAGGAGACTGTAAAAACAGAGTTCCAATTAAATTGTATTATGAAATTTTTATTAATGAAACTTAACAAGTTGACTTTCAAGTAAGACTGAAAGTGATATTTCTCCTAAATTACACAGTTTTCAAGTGTCACTAGACTCTTCTGCTGTGTTCTGGGGAAGCTGACTAGCTCAGACACCATTTCCCTTCTGAAAAGACTGTAGCAGAACTTCAAGAGTTTTAAAAAACTTGCTCAGAGGGAAAATTTCAACCTCTAGCCACTAGAAAAGATAATTCTAATATTTTTTATTGTTGTTTAATAGAATTGTAGAGTAAGCCAGGTTGGAGGGGCCCTTTGGGGTGTCCCTGGTCCAGGCTCCATCTCAACTCAGATTAAACTTAGATCAGATTCCTCAGAGCCTGGTCCAGCTGAGTTTTAAATAACTGCAAGGATGAAGATTTGAATACACACCTTCATTCCAAGTGATTGGTTTTTTTTTCTGTCTGGTTCAGCCTTTAAGCGATCAGGTGCTAAACCGCTAGCAGCAAGACTATATAGTCCATCAGGTCTATAAATTATGGTTTTGAACACTCAGCAGTGAACTATATTCACAGAGAAGTTAATGAAAGAACACCCTGGACAACCCTAAGAGCTCCTGCAAGTTTTGAAGTATCTTCTTTATTTGCCTAAGAATATATACTGTTCTGATCAGAAAAGGGACAGTGAAGCCTCAGCTGACAATAAATCACTCTGAATTACTCATTGTTACATAACCACCCAGCACCTGACAGCATCCCTCTGGAGTCCTTACAAAGACCCACAGAGTAAACAAGAAAATCCATTAATCTCTTGTCAGAGGTGAGAAAGATAACTCCTGGCCAGAGCTGGGTGGAGAATCGGCTTCAAATCTAAGACATCTGACTCTTAAACTCAGACTACAGTCTCAGTTACCTGGCCCAGTCCTTGCATACCACCCACCCTGGAAGTCTAATACAATTACATTTGCACTGATCAAAAATAGTCCAGCTTAACTCCTGCTTTGATCATCAGTCACTCTGTCATCCTTTATCTACAGTACAAATATAATGGAAATATATGTGAGAGAAAGAGAAGACATGTGAATATCACCAAGAACGTGGGAGCAGCAAAGAACAGCGATTTCCAAAGCAATTTTGCAATAATCTATGTGACTATACATATATTTTAAAATATAAGATCACATGATGCTTTGAGTTCATACCGGCCTTCAAATCAGCTTCTAAGCTTTGCTATGAGAAATCCCCCCCAAGCCTGCCAGGTGGAAAAAAGCCCCGTGAATTTTATCTTTTCCATACATTCACCTTCCTCTGTCCTGCCTGGTGGCACGCAGGATTTGCACAGCCCAGCTCAGCTCAGGCTGTGATCTGATGAGGAGGGATCAGGATGAGGGAAGAGCTGAGAGCTCTACACTGTACAGAGGGTCCAGCCCAGGCTGCAGAGAGCCCTATCTGCACTCTGAAGCTGACAGCAATTACAAGGGGAAGGCAAAGACACCCTGTGTTTCGCATCAGAGAAGTAATTATTTCATCTGCAGATCAAGGAAAAACAGAAGAGGTCCTGAGAGTCACCAATAACTTATTACATCCCTCTAAATTACACCCTTTCATTAAAAAGAAAAAAATTAATAATAGAAACAGAGAAAAGAAAAAAATCTTGCTGCTACTCTCCCAATTTGTTTCTTGAACCCAGATTTCTGTGATTTCCCCTCCATATCCCAGTGGTTTATTACAAAAGCACATAGCTATTGCCATCAGGTGTGAGAGTGCCAGATATACAGGCAAATTCAACTGGCTCTGAATTAGGCTACCACCACAGCCAGCTGCAGTGGCACTGGGATGGATATCGGGGGAGGCTCCAAATTGAGGTCGGTTTTGAAGGGCTCTGGGAGGCTCATGTAGCTGTGTCTTCATGGTCATGTGCACCCCAGCTACCTTGAGCTTCCCTGAGCATTACATTAACCTGGAAAGGAAACATCAAAAAAAGCCATCACTGTCAACCAGGCAGAGCCTTGCTGGACAGAGAGGGGCAAATCAAGTGACAAATAGTTCCTAGCATGTGCTGAAACAGTCGCTGGAATGCCAGGGAGCTGCATCCTGAAGCCACATATAATTAGGTTTTGACAAAACTGATTTTTATTTTGAAGTGCTGCTGAGCCACAGCCTTATGAAAAAATTACCAGAATTTGAAACACGGCTTGTAGAAGAATTTAAAGTATTTTGATAGTCAAAAGAATGCTTAGGTGCCCACTCAAGTTAGCACACAAACACTACACCATCATCACTGCTAAGCATCCCCAGTTTGTTTTTCCCCTCCTCCCCCAAAAAGGTACCCTGGTACATAAACGATAAGACAGTGCAGAAATAACAAAACTTGTCAGAGTAAAGAGATGTGTGAGAGCGAGAACTGTTATAAACATTGACTCAAAGTATGTCAGAGATGACAGGCAGGTAGGAAGTGAACACCAGCATCAGATAGACTACAGTGCAAGACTCGTCCTGGGGAGCAGCCTTTTGCTCAGAAACAGGCAAGTATAAGAATATAAAATCAAAACAAATCACCAAATCAGTATCATATCTGAGCCATCCAAAGGTTTAGGATATTTATTACACTGCTACAGAAGAGAGAAGAGGAAAAAAAAAAACAACAAACAAACAAGAAGAGAAAATTATAAATAGATACAAGCTTCAAGTGAATCCACCTGCTTTCCTTTGCTGGAAAACCAGTCTGCAAGCTCTTTAGATTAGAAACATCATTTTATTCTTCGTCTGTACAACACAAGAGAGGCTCAGAAGACCGATGAAGTTTGAGAGAGCTGTTACATTACAAATAAATAACAATAACCCACTTAATCTCTTCTTAATACAGCCCTGAAGGGAATGTAAGTGAGATTATCAACTGGCAGCATTTATTCAGCAGAACTTCAGTTACGGTTCACAGCCAGGACTTCCTATCCCTCTCCTGAAAACTGTCTGTTGGCTTCAACAAAGCAAATACAAACTTGAAGAGCTGGATCATAAACTGTTAAAGAGATTTAGTTATAAAAGAAGGGGAAAGAAGAGCGAGTAAGTGCGTAAGCACTGCGAGAGACTTTGCATCAGATCCAACAAAAGCAGTGGAAGTGGGTGGAAAACAATCCAAGGGCAGAGAGAAAAACAAAACTGTGATTGCAACATAGCCTGGAGGACACTGGAGCTCCTGCTCCCTGTGCTGCTGTCTTGTTGCAGAGCAGTGGCAGAGATGGCAGGTGCTGTGGTAGCTGCCATCCCCACTGTAGCTTCTCACCCACATCCCATGCAAAGAAGGACTGGGTGGCACGGCCCCATCCCCAGGGCCTGCTCCGTGTCAGGCTGTAGAAGACCGTGACAGACGCAAGCAGCCATCAGGGGAGAGAGTGAAAACTTCACACCAAAACCACACTTACAGCGACCGGTTTTTCAGGAGACATATTCACTCCTTTCACATCTTCTTCTTCTTCTGGTTCCTCGTTTTCCTTATTGTCAGTGCAAGAGACAGAGTCTTGGACTGAGCAAGTGCTAAGTAAGTCTGGCAAGCTGGTAGATGGATACTTCAGAAAATCCCCTTCAGAAGGTTCCTACCCGAGAGACAACAAAATATGTTATGTCATGTGCAGAAAAACACCAGTGTCACAGTAAAACTGCTCCATTTTGCGTGCCCAGTGTGAGCTCCCTGGTAATCCTCCCCTTGTTACACACTTCCATGTGCTCAAACTTTAAAGGCCCAGTTATAAAAAGAAGTCCTGATTTTAAAGTGCATATATAATAAACATGGGACAGTACCTGTTTAAAAAATTTAGATGTCATAAAGGAGAATTTAAAATAAATGCTTCTCCAGCAGCCTGCTCCTCCTCACTTTGGGTTTATTAAACATTACTGTGAGGAGACTGAGAGTTTACAGACCTCATTACTCATTTCATTGCCTCTCAAATCACACCCTGTGCTCCCGCTCCCTCCCTGTAGATGTTCCCTTCACACATTTATTTACCTACACACATAAGAATAATACACTGAAACACTACTCAGGAGAACAAAATGAAAACTGAACCACCAATCCTCTATCAACTCAGTCCTGATGCTCCAGGATCTGTTTCCAGTCTTTGGCATCATTTCCGGCAGGCAAACACACGCATCAGCTGAAAGCAGTGGCCAGACAGACTCTCATTTTATTGCTTTCGGAACAAACTGTATGTTCCTGAGCACTCACCAGGCCAAAAGGTAAGGCTGCATTCCTAAACGAACAAATAAGGCCTCAAAGGAGCTGCTAGGGAACACTTCACCTATTTACACCTTTTCTGAGGCTGTGCCTGAGAACATGGCACAGGGTGGATTCCCCACTGCTTGCCTTTCCAAGTCCTTCTTCCAAGGACATGAAAACTGCCCAAGAGCACAGAGTACAGGACAAACAGATTCACAGCCTGACCAGGAACATGAAGTTTTATGCCATGAGCTTATTCATGATGAGGTCATCACGTGAAGAAGCTTTTAAGCTTCAGGAGAAATATATGCACTCTACTGCCTTGTGTTTTGGCAGAGTCCAATTATCTAAAGGAAACAAAAAATGTAGCTACTTCATGTCAAAGTGTGTTGTTTCCAGAATAAACACTGGTAGGGTTAATACCAAGCTGTGACCCTACAGAAGATCTTCAATGCACTTCACCAAAATATTAGGAAGTTACAGGCTCTTCACTTTCAATATGGTAGAATAGAGCCTCTTCTTGAAAAATAGGAGCATAAAGCATCCCAGGAAGCCATAAGAGCATCCAGATACTAAAGCCACAGAAACGTGCATTAGGATGGCTGAGGAAACTCAAAGGTGAAGCTAAGAAAAAATTTTAAAATACTGACACAGTGGCTTGCTGACACTCTGGAAATGCAGGTAAAGGAGTGGTCCGTTTGGACCAAGATGATCCCCTCAAAGGCCCTGATGAATCCACCTGGCAGGTAGGTCAATATTTGAGACCCCTGGGTGCTTTTGAGAGCCCACTGGCCACCCACCAAACACCTGCAGCAGCCCAAATTGGGGGGCAGCGGGATGTGATCCACAGAGAAGAGCAAACAAGGCTTGGCAGGATTTTCTTAAACAAAGGACAACATACTACTTAATATCCCCTAAACCTCTTCTGTGATCAAAGCAGAACGAAGTGCCCAACTGATAAATGAGTTCCACTCTCATTTCCCTGAAATTTCATGCTCCTTTATCTGTAAGAGCTCCACTCCACGCTATTAACAAGGACAAAATAAGGAACTCGAGCCAAGAGATCATCATCAAGAGACCTCAGGCACACAGGCAGGACAGAGATGAGAGGTACAGAGGCTATGCAGGCAGGAAGCAGAAGAGGCTGAGAACAGCCTGCTTTATTTAGCACATATTTAAGAAAATGGTTTTGGCCAAAACTGAGGTAACATCTGTGTGAATAAACACAGACTCATTTGCACAGTGAACAACAGTGACAATACAAGCAAATCATTAATTTGGTCTGTACTGTGCCGATTTGCCACAGATTTATGGCAGCTACTGATGTATTTCCCCTTGCTATACATTAGTGGAGCAAATGTGCACATGGGATTGCCTATCAAAAATATGCCCTTTATACAAAGCACTGGCACAAACATTTGTGGATACACATTGGTGAGAGCACCCGGGAGAGGTGTGTACCTTGCTAGAGACCACCAGCTGCACCAGGCCAGCGGCCGAGCGAAGGAGAGCCACGGCCTCCTGGTGGGACAGCCCCACCAGCGACTGCCCGTTGATCATGAGGAGCTCATCACCAGCCATCAGCCTGCCATCCCTGCAGAAACAGAGCGGGAACACGGAGCTGCAGGGTGGTCCTCCCCCAGTGCCGGCTCCGGTGGCACGTGGCGAGACGTGGAGGCATGGACAACACGTGATCTCACTGACGCTAAGCTAGCACTGTGTGGTATTCTCCAAAAAAAAAGGGGCTCAGAAAGTAACTCCAGGAAAATACTGTTACAGCCAGAGCCATCTCACCCTCTTGGCAGGCCTGAGATCTCCCAAGTCTTCTCTGTGACTCAGTGGAGTTGGTCAGGGCGCAGCAGCTCCGTTTCCACTCTGTGAGGGAACAGGGCCAGGGCTGGAAGCAAGCACCCTGAGATGCACAACCCATGCTCTCACACACTGACAATTCCATGGAAAAGACCCATCTTCCAAAAAGGGACTTGGGGAAAAATCCCTACAAGCCATCAGGCTCCTTGGTTTTCACTCCATCACCAAGGAAGTGTTTGATCTGTCTACAGTTTGGACTAAACATGCTAGAATAAGCTTCAAGGATCAAACACAAAAGTAAATTTTTATGCTAAAAATGTCATATTCTCACCCTCACACAAGGGAGGGCAAAATGCCCAGACTTGCCTCATGAACTTGGTTAGCATGGATAGTCCATGGCTACCCCATCACACCCACTCCCATGAAGGCACCGTCAGCTCACCTGTGCGCGGAGCCGCCTTCCTCCACATGGGTGACGATGATGCTGTGAGGGGACCGCTTTGACCCTCTGCCTCCCGTTATCTGGATTCCCAGCCCGTCCGTCCCCTTCAGGATGCGCATCTTCCATATGCGGCAACCTTCTCGCTGAGAGAAAATGTGCAGAGAGTCCTTGAATTTGGATTTGCACACCAAGAGGGGGCTGGGAGGCTACAGGAGGGAGCTATTTAGCACCTTGCTGCCCATCACCACACACCTGTACAGCTCAAGCTATACGGGTGTTTTTGCTGAGCTTTGCTACGTTAGCCGCAGTCCAAGCGAAGGAGGCAGAAAGGAGGAGGCAGCACAGAGCAGGGTCAACACGTAGAGGTTTCCTTGCAGGGACGTTTGCAGCTTTTCTGAGCCACGCAGAGGTGCTGCTCTCAATGCCCTGGTCCTTCCCGAAGCAACCAGTGGCCTCAAACCCCTTCGCCAAAACTCAAGGATGAGCTGTGCAGAGCTGCAGAGGAGCAAGACATGGTTCAAGGGGGACCTTGAACACCAGGTAGTGCAGCTGCTGTTGCAGCAGGGACCAGACCAGCATCACACAGCAGCATTTCCCTCTCCGGAGGGGTTTGCAGGATTTGAGATGCAGGAAAGAAAACATCAGCTTCAAATTATCAGCTGCCAAACAAATATTTCTTACCGGGCAGCTGTTGTACAGATTGTAAATAGTAAATTTACCCACTGCAGAGAATAATTTTCAGTATAACCAAGGTAATAAGCAATGTTCAGGACACTTTCATTAGTTTTGATTATTTTTAATTATTATAAATATGTATCCAAAAAAGCAGTTTACAAACTCCAGAGCAATACAAAATGCAAAACACAAACTAGTTCCCATGAGTTCTACTGGCAGGATTGGACACAAGGAAACACAAGTGTGACAGATATCAGCAGAGCAAAAAAGGGAAAGAGAAAAACAAGCAAGCAAGACTTGAAAGGCAGTTGCCAAGACAGTCCCAGAGAGGGGAAGAATCAGGAGTACAGAATTATGAGAAACCCTTGGAAATTTTCAAGCTTGCAAGACAGCAAAATGCACAATTTGAAGGCAATTTTGAAGCCATGTGTTGTAGTCACCAGGCACCAGGTCAGCTATTTCTGACTGGGTGTGTTATGCACACAAGTAACGTTCTCACAGTACGCAAACGCCCAAGTAGCAAAGATGATTAAAATTTCATGGCAAACTGTGAAGAGCATGCACAAATTGCTGCTTGTTTCTGAGAAGGAGAACTTCTAAATATATCTGCAAACCCAAGGGTTGTGGCAGCAACCTGCAAATTTTAGGCCAATGTTGTTTAACAGAGCCTTTATTAAGTGAGGAAAATGCAGGGGGGTTTTTGTGTTTTTTTTTTTTTTTCACCTAAACACTGAAACTTCTAAATGCAGTATGAGTTTTTCAGATATTACAACAAAGTGAAAATTAATGAGAATAACTAATAATTATCAATACTAACATTACTAATGGGAATGTTAACATGAGTATTAATATTAATTACTATTATATTAATGTATCATAGCCCTTAAACCACAGGCAGGAGAAACAGAAAACAACAACCAGGTTTCTTAAGAGGTTACCCAAAAGTTTTAGCCTGAAAACACATCCACCTGTGGGTAATTTGTTAACTTGAAAGCCCTGAACATGGGCAATATCCTAACAGGGTTTAACCGGGATCTTCAATGCCTGATAAAAGCCCAGTCTCCTGCTGAATAACAGGACATGTCAGGACAGAGGATACTTTAAAATGAATTAGAGTGATACATGAGACACTGTGTTAAATGCAGGGGCAAAAGTCAACTATATTTATCTGCTTTAAAAACAGAACTGAGCTACAGCATGAAAATGCTCCAGAGAGATTTTATTGCTATGAAGTACCTTGCACCAATAATGAAGACAGTATAACAGAGAAATACAATCCCTCTGCCTCCCCCAACCAAGCCCAGGCTGAAATGATGACCATCTATTCTCCTCACAAGATGCCACTTCGAATGTCCTGTTGTTAAACCCAGTTTGGAAGCAGACCTTCCAATAAAGTTTAACAATGCAGTCATAAAATTGCCTTTAATGATCTGCAAAAGCTTTTTGGAATGCGAGTTACACCAAGGCCCACTATGTGCAGTGCCTGGCTCACACTCCTCAGTACTCTTCACTATCACACATTTTATTACATTAAAAAAAAAATCCAAATTTACTCTTAACTGGCTCACTCTTGGATATTCATTTACATAGCACTTAATAACAGCAAATGGCAAGACTCTGCTCCTCCTGTGCAAGCACCACCTTATTCCTCTTGAAAGCCCACTAAAATCAAAAGCACTTGACAGTAAAACACTACTCAGTCTGAACATGGACAGAAGAATACATCCACAATAAAGACAACAAAAACGTTTGGCACATACCCAAACTTGTATTTCTTTCACTCATTTTCGAATGCCACTGTCACCTGCTCCTGTGAAAGAAAAGGCTGTCCCTTGAGTCCCTGCTGGTCAGCTGCAGGCATTTCACTGGGAATAAACAACTCGGCATCGACTGGAATCAGAAACCCTCACTGTTCTTTCCCCTTTCCTCATAAAACATTCATAGCTCTTCATTTAACCACGCGCTACAAAGCAAACACCCCCCACCAATACATATGTACCTCTGAGGGACATCACTCCAAGATTTTGAAAGCTAAGTACTAAAGAGAAGATTGCCAGTCTCTGCTTGAGGCCTCTGGAGGAAGGCGGCATCCAGCAGAACCCCTTTCCCTCCTCAGGAAGCTGCACAGAGCAGCACAGGATACTTCATCGCTGGATAAAAATGCTGCTGCTTTGAATGTGCATCTCTTATGAGTTCATAACAGGAAAGCCTTATGAGTAAAGCTCTGTGCCAATTCCAAGGACTTGTAAATGCATTTTAATTATTCTTAAAACCAGTTTTGTTAAGTTACTGGGGACTCCCAGGTTCAACAACAGAAAGCCCAAATACTTCAAAAAAGAAGGGGGGGAAAAAAAGCAGCGATGCATGTGTTTAATTTTGAAATTTTTTTGAAGTATCATATTTTCAAACTTTCCTTCATAAACAAAAATACTACAAACTCAGTTTTTAAATGAAAGCTAGAATTCTGGGGCATTCGCTCCACTCCAGAGACTTAAAATACTCAAAGGAAACACCAAGTGTAGTTAGATTTCACAGTTTGCAGGTATGATGTCACTGCCCCTGAAGCCTGCATAATCCCCGCCCAGAGGACAAGTTTAAATGCTGACCAATCTCCTTTGATCAGATGCACAATTCCGGTTGCTGCTTAGCTGCTGTCAGTTCCATATTTCTATTAACATCTGAATTTTCCCATCTTTTCAGAATAAGTCTCACAGCTTCATTTATAAATGACTTAGAATAACACTACCTCCCCCCCCCTCCCCAGCTTTGTTCACGGGCAGCACAAAAATACACACATGCTCTCACAGCTCTTGGTGCAAAAACACTTCATGCACAAAGCACAGATGTGCTGATGCCAGTCCAGTCAGGTATCTCAAACTCCAGACATCCTCACTAAGGACAGAGAGCAAGGCACTACTAGCTCCTGCTACAGCCAGGGAACAGGCAGTATCCAGCCCTGGTCACTCTTAAGGAGACTTAAACTATATCCCTCTAACCAAAGGCAGGTCACAAGCACAGCAGCAGCAGCATTTGAGAAAGAGCTCACTACATAATTCGGAATGAATAGTTGTGTATGACAATCCAGAAAATTTCATTCACCTGAGATTTGGCCAAGATGGACACTCAGAAAGACACCCTTGAGTGCTGTAAATGCGCCAAAGGAATAACAAGCGAGAATGCCCCTTAAGAGACTTGTTCCCCACCTCCTGAGAGTGAATGTTAATTCTTCTCAGATCCATCCCACTGACTTTGCTTATAATCCCAAATCAGCAGCAGATCTGCCTTCATGGAGGGACTTTGGATTCCTCCCAACCAAGGATTTCATGGGCACTATGAACCAACATTTGTCAAAGTTGGTCTCAGAGCAAGAGATGAGATGATGAGATTGGGTCATTCCCTGAAATTCCTTCCCGACTCGCATTTTTTAACTACCCTCACACAGCAAGGAAAAACACAGATGATCAAGTCAGGCTGCAGCTGGGCTAATGGCTAATTTTTGTACTCTGCAGTTACATCACTTTTAGGTGACTCAACTTTCCTCCCAGCTTGGCTCTTTCAAGCAGGCAGCCCTTTGGACCAGATTTTTCCACTTGAAGCTGATCAACTTCAAAGTGCCTTAGTTACAAATAATTAAAACTTTTTTTTTTTTTTTTTAAGACAGTATAAATATTCTATTTGGATTAATTGCGGGGGGGGGCAGAGGGAGGGGGGGAACCCAACCTAAAACAAAGGGTCATCTTATGTAACTGACTGCAAGTGAGAATAGAGAATACAGCTGGCAGCTTCTAGTGGGTCCCTGCAGGCCATTTCTCTCCATGGTGTAGCCATTGTACACCAGGCAGCCTCTGCTCAGAGCGAGCCTACATCTGGAATAAACTAGCGTGCTGCAGATCAGAAAGCGAGTGCACTGCCAGCGCAACGTGGGGAAGCTCGCCTTCTGCCTGCTCCGGGTGCATACCATCAAACGCTACATTTCATAAGCACATCATTAATAAAACAAAAAAGAACGTTTTTCCTCTGAGTTGTTGAGGAAAAAAAAATAAATAAGTGAACGCCAGAGCCATTCTCCCCCCCACACACACACTTCCCCTTTGCTAGCTAATTGCAGGGGAGTTTAAAGGGGCTTGACTGATTTTTGACTGTGCCGTATTCAAGAAGCTGCAAATCCATATATACAAAAGAAAAAATTGCTTTGAAATCTTTTATTAAAGACAAGCTTGGCAGGAGCAAGGTGTAAACAAATGGAAAACAGATATGCAGTGTGTAGTTAAAAAGCCAGACAGTAAAATGTAAAATAGTTGTCTACGAAAAAGCACTTTCTGTCACAGCAGCAATTCAGACGAACCTGATGTAAACATGTAACAATTTTAAAACAAAAACAAAGATAAGCCCTGATCAGAATAGGAATAACCACGTACTGAGTCTGTACTCACACACTGACTGACTGCCATGGACCCAAATGCAGCCC